AAATTTTTTCTTTAAATTTCTTCTAATTTTTCCTTTTTAACTACATCGATCAAAGCCTTGCTTTTGTAAGTGTAAATATATCGCAATGGAAAGCAGCATTTGTACAAATGTTTCTTTTGTGCAAAATTTGCTCTGGAGCCCTTATCTTTCACCGTAATAAACGTTTCACATTTGTTATACCACTTATAATCAACAAAGTACGAATAAAGCACTACTTTAACCAACAAGGCTCAACAAACACCTCCACAGTTCCGTAAACTGCAAATGGAATCCATAAAAATAATTATCAACAGAAAATAGCCTCACAGAACCCCAGCATTCCTCGAAAAATAAAAAATAAACTAGAGCGACCCCACATCTTTTCTACTTAAACTTTGACAGTTCCCGAAAGTTGTAACAATCTACAAATTCTCTTTTCCAGACAAGGAAATCCCTTCTTCTGCCAGAAAAACGTTATCCAACAACGAAGAAAAATTGCTACTTTCCCATCATATTCTCACCACTGATGAGCAGTAAAGCTTCAAAAGAAGCTGCGTAATTCAAAACAGCTCTCACTCTCGTCTCTCTTTAATCCTTGCAACAGTCTATCATAGTTTTTGTTGTTGTTTCCATTCGTGTCCCCGGCAAATGAATCATTTTTTAATGTAAATAAAAAACTGCATCCGGTTTCAAACCATCTATTTACTTTGCCAAATGTACAAGGCGATTGGCGCCTTTACTTCATCCTTACTTCATCCGTCATTAGTGGTACCAGTAATATATAACAACAAGAGCTCAGTGTAATGAGATAACAAATATTGAAGACAATAATCTACAATATTGACAACAACCTGACTTGTAAAAAAATCAGCCCACTAAAGAAAAAATGAATATTATACAAAAGAAATGTATGAACATAACCGAAAAGTAGAATAAAACGCTGGGAAATAAAAATGAAGAATACTACTTGAAACATCTCGCGTAAAAAAAAAAAAGAAAAACAGAAAAACAATGAAAGAGCTATCAGATCAACAACGTGAGTCAAAAAAAAGATGTAAAAAATTTCGGATTTTTCAGCAACAACGAGATAGATCTAAAAAAACTGCTAGTAATATCACTTGGAAAAAATTTGCAATATGTACTAGTCCCTTGAAACAATCCGAACTAAAAAGCTGCTGAACAAGCCTCGTTTCCATACCAAGAAATATTTCTCAATGAACCGCAACAATGAAGTGGTACAGCAGCCTCAGCGTTTGAGAAATCATCAACAACCGACAAGTAACATGGTTTGGTAAAGTGGACAGATGCCATCTCAATAACCGCTGAATACGTCGTCGCAGCACCGCAGACTAGAGCAATCACTGTAACAGTTAATTAGTTTATCAAAGAATTACTCGTAAGACATCATGCCCTCGTATAGTTAATTATTTTATTAAAGCTTGGTAACAGCGCTACTCGCACTTAGGAAAAAAGATCAAATATAAGCAAGCAACAAATACCAATAACTAGAACGTTGATCACTAGGCGACTTCTCGATGTTCTTGCTATCACCCTAAAAATTATTCCAATATAACCAACAATCAGGTGAAAATATGATACCTACACCTTAGAACTTCCGTTGGAAATTCCAAATGCAGCTACATGTGTATATCTGTCAATGAAATCGTTAGGACAGCAACTGCAAAGAATGCAGTCTATTTGTTGCAAACTGCTGCAAACTTCAACGAAAGAAGAACTGACTCATAAAAATTTGGTCGTCTGTAAATCTTTAATTTATCATCGTACGATGCAGCATTCAGATAAAGATTGTACAAAGAAGGCATCACAGCGGAGGTTAGAGCAACAGCAGTACCACCAATCACATTCAGTATTGGACCAAACTTGGGAATCGTTTCAGCAACAAAAACAACGCATAACATTACTCCGGTACGTACACTGACACGTTGCCATCCAAAATCTGAATACCACTCTCACTTTTCCTAATGTCATTACAGGTAAACAAACAAGAAGAACTTTAAAACTTTAAAACTTAAATTATAACTGAAATGCATCATAAATGATGATATTTTTAGCTTTCAAAAAACTGCTTTCGATATGTGAGCATAAAAATCACTTTGAGGAGTTCCGAAAAGATTTTCAACTTCCTGGTTTAGCGGATTAATGACGATGGTAAGTGTTAGAACACAGTGAACAGCAATAAATAAGTTCGCAGCTCTTTGCATCCATTCAGTCTAAATTTATAGGAATCAGGTTACTACAAAATTATAATTTACCCAGCGACAGATATCAGCAAAAAAAATTTGCCTGGATTGAATTGATTATCGAATCTTCTAAACTGTCACCGTATGTTGCGTATCCAAGTAACGTAATTGGTGCATACATCAAGGTTACAACTAAAAAAGATAAAAAATTAGCTTTTACACCAGTTATAGTAGCTATTCATTGTTAGACGTTTTTACCAACTAGATTCCTTTTCGCTAGTACCAGCTCACAAAATGAGCGCAACTAAAAACCTTTCCTCTAGGTTACTCCCCCTTCCGTTTTAAAAAAACAGAAAGAGGTATTTGAAGAAAGTTTTACCTTTACGACACCGCACCGTAACCATCCAAGACCCATTTCCTCTAATCATTGACGGTCAGTCGATGGCGAGAGAACGGGTAGCAGAAGTACTGACTTCTACTTGTCAAGATAGATACAAAACAAAAAAATAGTTCTTGCTAACTTACTGCAAAAGGCAAGTACTGCAGACCGAGTAAAATGATTTGGATGTCTCATGTCATGTTGAATTGTTGGAAAAACAGCATGTCCTCCAAAACCAAACATAAAAGTACCAAGCGACAATGCAATTGTACCGATGTCGACTTTTTGGCTCAAAGCGTGGCTACTACACAACGGAAAATCAACAATTGTCCCAGTCAAGATAAGGATTACAGAGAATAGCGTAGTCAACATAGCAAGCACAATTGCCCACCTGAAAGCAATGAAAGAAATTGCATTCAATTTACTTAGAAACAAATATTGAGAAAATAAACGTATCGCTTCATTAAGAAAGTGTTTAAATGCAGCTTTTGGACTTCTAGAATATAATTTAAATAGGGCTAATTGCTTTCTGAACCAACAATTCTATCAAGCATACCAGAAATCTTGAGGAGATTTTAGCAAGGTAACTGGGTACAGTATTAAAGCGACAATCAGCAGCATCGTACAAAACCCGATGTTCTTTCCAGTCATTGAGGTAACGAAATCGTTGATGATGTGAGACGACAGCAGCAAATAAACTACCGAAACACCAAAAAGCATTGCATTCAAAGTACTGGAGCAAAATGTCCTAAAGCGGCAGTTTTTCAGCATTATACAACCAGCACTTTCTTTGCTTGTTGCACAAAAATAATCAGAAAAAACACGACGTATTACCTTGCAGATGATCCCATTGCTCTGTACGCCATTTCTGGATACGGTTTACGACAGTGATCGTCGTATGCACTCCAGCGTTTGCGAAGTATTAGCCAGTTTTCCGACAGTAAGTGTGCTGTGTAACAGAATGTTACACAGAGAATTGCAATAATAAAAGAACCGACGATACTACCTAGGTTTAAAAACAAACTGTATAAGAAAATCCAACAGTAAAACTTTCAAATTCCAATCTACTGTTTTTGATGATTACTGTAGCTGAGAAAATCAGTTTTATTCATTTTCCAAGTTGCTTACTATTCTACGTCTCTTTCCTGTAATATACCGCTTTAACTGAAAAAAAAAAACAAGTAAATGCAACAACGAGAATAAAAACAAAAAATAAATAAACAAAGTAGAAGCCGAAATAAGAAAACATCACTGAAGTTAGCTTAAAATTAAAAAAAAGCAGCAACCTGATTTAAGCATTGCTACCGGCATGGCTACGACTCC